CTCCTCCCCCTCCACCCCCTCCCCCTCCTCCTCCTCCCTGTTGTTTGAACTCAGACCTTGGATGCTATCTGTAAGCTTCCTTGCCAAGGCTAGTGTTCTACCACTTGAGCCACACTTCATTTCTGGCTTTGTGGTTGTTGTTGTTAATTGGTGATGAGTCTCACAAGGCTTTTCTGCTTGATCTGGCTTAGAACCCAGTACTCAGATCTCAGTCTCTTGAGTAGCTAGGATTGCAAGCATGAGCCACAAGTGCAGCGTTGAAATGGCAATTCTTGTTCTTAATGTGCCTGTGAAAAATACAGCCCACTATACAGAGTAAGTACAGCCATCACTGGTAACTCTGGCCTGTAATATTAGTTATTCAGGAGGCTGAGATCCAGTGGTCAAGGTTTAAGTCCAGTCTGGAAAGAAGAGATCATGAGACTCCATCTTTAATATAACCAGCAAAAAGGTAGGACGGAGGCATGACTCAAATGGTAAAGTACTATACTGGTGTAAATAGGAAGGCAGGGTTTTTTCTTTTTAGTTTTCCATTTGTAAAAATATTTCTTATTAAATGTTTGTCCTCCTCATTTGCTGAAGTTGTGTTTTCAATATTCTCCAGGGTCTTACCAAGAAGGTCATTCTGGGGGATCCACTTGTAGAGCTGAGTGTTGGATCCCAAGACATCTGGTTTCTTGCCATCAAATCTCCATACAACCTGTTCTGGCAAAGAACCCTCTTACTACTTGAGTCAGATCTCAGGTCCTTCACATTGGAATTAAGAAGAGACTAATAAATAATCTCTATAGTACCTATTACATGATAGCTAAGGACATGAGGAAAAGGCATGATAAACAATGAGAACTACTAAATTAGTGCTAGAAATACATTTCTTACTGGGCTTATTTTTCTATTTTATCATGATATAGCATACTTTCTTGATATTTCCTAAGTCGCTTAGGCAAAATGAGGTTTTAAATATCAAGTAGAGCATGCAAAACATGTGTTATTAGAGTTCTAATTGATAAATTGTGCTTATGAGCTACACATTCATTTTGTTTCACAAATAAATATATATATAATAATTGTCATCTACTAAATGTAACATCAACCTTTTATTAGAGTGATATTTATTAGTGTTTTCTTATAATCACTTTTAATTTTGTTTTGAGAGACGATCTCACCATGTAGCCCAAGCTGGCTTATTTGGTAGGGTCCAAATGCCAGGATTATAGATGTATCCCACTACACAGACAATAGCTACTTTGTGTGGTGTGTGTGTGTGTGTGTGTGTGTGTGTGTGTGTGGTCAGTTTTGGGACTTGAACACACTTCCTGGGCACTGTTTCTGAGCTCTTTTGCTTTAGGCTAGTGCTCTACAACTTCAAGTCATAGTACCACTTCCAGTTTCCTGATGGTTAACTGGAGATAAGAACCTCACTGACTTTCCTGCCTAGGCTGGCGATCCTCAGATCTCAACCTCCTGAGTAGCTAGTATCACAGGTGTGAGCCCCTAGCCTCTGACTCGGAATAACTACTTTCATCATAAATTATTTCACTTCTTAAACCCTTGTGAGGCCACTTTTTCAAGGATCACAATAAGGGTAAGATTCCTTCTCCACCCTTTATCTTATATCTTCTTTTTTTCAGACATTAACAAGGACTAGTCCAGCAGGGCAGGCCAGCATTTCTTTCTCTCCATCATGTTGGTTTGCTGAGTGCGTGGACTTGGGGTTGGTGAGTCCTGATCTTCTTTATTAAGAGTAGCACCAGCAATATGGATAAGCCTATTTCAAAATTCAGGGAAGAAATGAGGCTGAGATTACATATGAATATGATGTTGGATAATGCAATCTCCAGTTTTGAGTGCCTGCTTATCTTTATTGGGCTGGTATAGTTACTGATTAAAATGTAACTTCATTCTGATTATAGCTTCACTGTGTACAGAGTCCTTAGTTCTCCTGGGAGAAAAAGAAAGAAATGACAAGGAAGATCTTGAGGATTTTTTTTGGGGGGGGGAGGGTTATCTACTTATAATAAAACTAGAAGTTCAGGTTCTTACTAAACCTGTTAAATGCATTTTTTTGGGTACGCTATGTGTACACAAAAGTATTCTGTTATGCTAAAGCACCTGCCACTTGTATTTCTGTATTAAACATGATTTCAGTGATTGATGTAGTAGAGAGCTCTCTTTTCACATAGGATATATTTGTAATTAGACCCTTCACAGTGTGACAGAATCCTTAAGCAGATGTTCACTGAAACTCTTTCTCTCACCTTTTGTGGTATCTGTGCTAGTGCTGATGCAATCACATTGGCCTTCTCTTCTGTCATATTACCTACCATTGACCCCAGAGAAAACACTACAATACCATTGTCGCCAGAGCTCTGGACAAAGTCTTCCATTTCCTGTGAAGAAAAATGGATCCATCATAAAAGAGAGGCAGTAATGTAAAAATATTGTTAATATTGGCACTAAATTTAAGGAGAACCAATCAATATTAGCAGGAATTATTAGAGTAAAGCTCTTTATGTGAAGTACACAATACAAATTTATAATCATTCCTATTTCTAGGGTGTATAGTTCACCAGTTTTACCCATATTTACCCATATTATTATGCAAACCAGCTCCAAAATATTGCTGAATTGAAAATCTGTAGAAACTAAGCAAAAAATGATTTTTACCTTCCTTTGGTCCCTTGGCCACTATACTTCTTTCTGCTTTTATAATTTTGAAGACTGGGTAGGTTCATGTAACATTTATCTTTTTTAATTTTTTTATTGTAAAAACACTGTACAGAGGGTTTATAGTTACATGAGTAAGTACATTTCCTATGGAGCATTGTTACCTCCTCCTTCCTTTTTCCCCTTCCTTCCCCACAGCCCCAACTCCTCTCCCTACCCCAAGTTGTAAAGTTCATTTGAAACATAGTATCGTGTACATTTCATTGTTACAATGGGTCAACCTGTATCCTTATTTCAACATTTTGTTATTTCGCTTCCCCTCCCCAAATTAGAAGAATGTATATACAAGATGCAGAATCAAATACAGTGACAACAGGGGTTATACCATGGGGGAAGAACATACAAGGAAAACAAAAAAAAACCATAGTACATTTTAAATATGTTAAAAAACAATAGCAAGCAAGAAAAAACAGTTGTGTCTCTATCTTGGGATTTATTTCACTTAACATCATCTGATATGGTCATATAGTTTTTGACCTTTTCTGCTTGTCCTAGACTTACACTAGTTATTGCAAATAAGGTAAACCATGGGACCTATGTTTCTTTGGGCCTGGCTTACTTCACTTAATATAATTTTTTTCCAAGTTTTTCTATTTCCTAACAAATGAGATAATGTCATTCTTTCTGATGGAGGCACAGAATTGCATTGTATAAATATAACACATTTTCTTGATCCATATCCAAATGATGACAAACAAGGCTATACTAAAGCTACCAGCACAACCATGTTTATCAGAGCATTATTTACCATAGCTAAGATATGGAACCAACCCAGATGCCCCTCAGTGGATGAATAAAACATTTGTATTTTTTGACTGGCTAGTTTTAGTTAGTGGGTTATCAAAGTTCTGGAAGTCTGTTCATGTGTCCCAATTCCTGTTTTAAAGGCTTATCCTCTTATTTGTATGTGTATACTATGTATTCATTATTTATAAATCCATTCATAGATGCCAAAGTTTTGCTTCCATTTCTTTGCTTTAAGGATGAGCACTTCATGGAGATCCTTCAATCAATTCAGCTTACCTGTTGATAAATCATGAATCTATTTTTTAATTTTGTGAGTAATCTATACTGTTTTCAGTACTTTTTTTCTGTCATAGATCTTGAATTTTGGGCCTAGGCACTGTTCCTGAGTTCTCTTGCTTTAGGCTCATGCTCTACTACTTTGAGTGCAGCACCACTTGCGGTTTTCTGGTGATTAATTAGAGATAAGAGTCTCATGGACTTTCCTGCCCTGGCTGGTTTTGAACCATGATCCTCAGATCTCAGTCTCCTGAGCAGGTTGGATTACAGGCGTGAGCCAACGATGCCCAAATAGTCAAATATTCTTTCATAAATGATTGTAACTCTGAACAAGGTCACATTTATGTTACTATAAATTGGAAAATAGAACAGGTCTCATGAGAGCATTTCATGGTGTCATACACTTTTTGCTTTTTCTTTGTAACATAAAATTATGATGTTAGATAAATTGTGTTAGATTCTCTTGTTTATTAAGAATATCATTCTACATGCTTATGGAAAACTTGAAAATATCTCAACCTAAGGGCGGGTAAGTAGGATAAGTTATCAGGTGTTCAATAAATATGAATAATTGTGCTATTTATTACATGCATAGCACACATTTCCTCTGTACTATGGTGAGGGAAACTATATTCCCTTTGGAAATTTTCTAGGGTCCCACATAGTCTTAAGGTAGATAAGAAACACTTGTGGTCTTTTCTTGATAGAACATTTTAACAGTCTATCTTTTGAAATAGAATTTATGGTATTTGGGGCAGAGTCACTACCTACTTTGTGTCTCTATAGATTCTTACCACATTTCAATGTAATGTTGTTTTCTTATATATTGAATGATGAATACCTTGATCTTACTTCCAAAGCTCAACAGTTTTCTCCTTAATTCTGTAAGGAAAATGTCTATACCATCACAACGATGTTTGTAAGAATTTCTATTTATTACTTCCTATGACTCTGTCTTTGAGACAAACAATGTAAATGAATAAAATAGAATTATCCTGTTGAAATTGAATAAAAACACAGGTAAATTAACAGGAAGATATTTACCTTAGGCAGAGGTCTGGCAGGTTTGCAGTGGAGTCCTCCCACAAATTCAAAATTTGGTAACAGTGGGCGAGGGAATTCAATATCCCAGTAGGTCCTAATGAGCCATATATCAGCTTTCCCCATTGTCTCAAATAATGTTGTAGGTCTACCTGAAAGGGTAACAGAAGACCAAAAGAATAGAGTATGAGAAAAGTCTCAGGTGGATATGAATGTTAAATACTCTTTTCAAAGGACCTTCAATAATATTCTGAAATGTGTTCAAGAGTCTTTTCATAATACAAATGTGTGTATATGGATAGGTGTATGTATTATCTATACACATGTACTTTTAATGTGTGGCTTATATATATATATATGTGCAGATGCAGGAAAGTCAGAAAAGACTTTCAGACTAAAAGACTGCAGATTGTAGATGTTGTCTGCACTACATCTGTAACTCACCTAGTATTTCACAACTGTAAATAGCTGTCACAATAAGCCAGCCTAGATAGTAGTGCACAAATCTTAACATAGATTTGCATGACATTACCTGTTGACCATAATGCTTATGGGAACACCTTTGCTAGTAAATCTTCATATACTTTGCTCTATAAGAATCTGGAACTTTGTCTTTTGGTTTTCTAGTGAACCCAGAGGGTTTTTATTATTATTATTTTTGTCCTTTTTCTTCCAATGCTGGGGCTTGAACTCAGGGCCTGGGCACCGCTTCTGAGCATCTTTTGCTCAAGGACAGCAGTCTACCACTTAAGCCACAGTGCCACTTTCAGCTTTTTCTGTTTATGTGGTACTGAAGAATTGAACCCAGGACTTCAGGCATGCTAGGCAAGCAATCTACCATTAAGCCACATTCCTAGGCTTAAACTGAGAGGTTTTGAGTATGGCTACATTTCTATTCCTTTTATTTGGATTTCTACTACATTTATTTCACATAAATAATTTACAGCATCTAGTAATTTATAACTATATTTATGAGTAAGGGATAGGAAAGTTTTAGAATATGGGAAGACTTACATTTACTCTTTATTTTTAGTAGAGATTCATAGTTTAAAATAGCCTCTATGTATGCCTATACTTCAATATTATTATGGGGGGGGCGTGTGCGTGTGCACGCACACACACACACACACACACACACACACACACACACGCCTTGGTCTTGGGTCTAGAACTCAGGGACTAGCATGATCCCGGAGCTTTTGTGCTCAGCCTAGTACTCTATCGTGGACCCACAGTTCTACTGCTGGCTTTTTAGTAATCATTTGGAAATAAGAGGCTTATACTCTTTGCTGTCTTGGCTGGCTGAACCATGATTTTCAGTTCTCAGCCTTGTGAGTGGATTTTCAGGTGTGAGTCACCAGTGCTGTCTACATTATGGCTATTTCAATATGAATAAGTTAATAATTTAAACTCTGAGTGAAGGCAGAAAAAATCACTAAAAATCCAAAATTATAAGTTTATCTAATATAACGATACTATCTCTTTCTTGTGAAGGAATTATTTAGATAAAGTGAAAAAATTAATTTCTAAGTGAGAAAACTGATCTACACAAGGAAAAAAAAAAGCCTTCAATGGTATGTAGATAATCTTGTTGCAAGTATGTATTGTCTTTAACCTGTACATGTATACCTTCATCAAGAGGTTTAATGAAATTAGAAATTACTGATTTTAAAGACCAGTAAAAATAGTAAGGCAGATACAAGATTGTGTAGAGAAACCCTCAGCAATTTACTTTTGGGGGCATATTATGCTTCCTGAAGTATCCTGTTCAAATGTTACCAGAGCTTTCTGACACTTTTCTATACATGTTTTGCATAGGATAGAAAAGCTTTTGTGTATTTCTATCATCAGTAAAGATAAATTCCTTCATCAAAGAGAAATTCATCTGATCTGACATTCTTTCTTCAAAGACCAAGAAAAATTAGAACCTTACCGGAACAGCTGAGAATAGGACTCACCTAGAACTTCACTATAAAGCTGATTCCACTTTTTCTCATTAAATGCTTGGAACCAAAAGTCAAAATAAATCACATATAGCATGTTTTTCACCCTCTCCATGAATGTCATTCGATCACTGAGTTCTGTCTCAATGATAGGCACATAAGAAGGAGGGACTGGAAGTCCTCCCATGTATTTTTCATATGTGTATCCAGGAAAGAAGCGGTGAGTGTACACCAAGGGAAGGTTTAGTAGTTCAGCCAGCAGGTCACCACAGGGAATGAAGGCATCTGCGAGAACGACATCAAACCTGGATTCTTGTAGTTTTGTCATAAGTTTCTTGTTCAAAGCTACATCTTTGCAGAGAATCTCAAAATAAGCAGAATCTTCCCATATAAGTTCTTGCAACGTGGAAAAATATGTCCAAAATGACAGCTTTGGCAGCTCATAAATCCATTTTCTGAGTGATTCCAGGAATACCTTTTCCACCTCCTCAGTGCTTATTGATGAAGGATAGATCTCAAATTTAATATGAGATGGTTTGTTGACCTCAAAGAAAATAGAAGTTGAAGATACCAGAACAGTCACCTCATGACCCCTTACCACAAGCTCATCCAATATTATCTTCAAATTGATCCAATGGCTGAATTCCATTGGCCACACCAACACTTTCCCACATTTCCCAGAAACAAAGAAACCACTCAGCTGTAGCAAGAGCAGAACTGTAGTCACTTTGGAAGCCATTCTGTAATAATACAATGTTTCCTTTCAGAGTGTGTTTTCAGGCTCTTGCTCCTATTCAAGGAGAAATCATCAACTAGTTAAAATATAACTTGTACCCACCAAAGTAAATACTTATACCAGTACTCATATCTGGAGGCAAAGTGAAAAGGTCAGGAAATAGAAAACCTCCTGTTTATGAGAATGTGTGTAATGTTGCTCTTGATTGCAGGTGCTTTTCTGCAGTTAAGATTGATGATATAACATGAACAATGCAGCTATGATATGTTAATGATTTTACAACAGTTTTGAAAATGGTAGTAAAAGAGTCATTCCTTTGTAATGTACTATTCTAGATATAAAGCTAGAAATACAATCACAAAACTCTTAAATCAGAATTTTTGCTATGCATTCATTATTCAATAGGTTTTCCCCTATAATTATTTTTTAACATTAATGCCATAGGTTGCAGGGTGCCAGTGGCTCATTCTTGTAAGCCTGGTTATTCAAGAGACTGAGATCTGAGAGTTGTGGTCCAAAGCCAGCCCGGGGAAGGAAGTCCTTTGCATTTTTTTTTATTGTGAAAATACTGTACAGAGGGGTTACAATTACATGGGCAAGATAATGAGTATATTTCTTATCAAACATTGTAGCCTCCTCCTTTGTTTTCCCTTCCCATCCCAATCCTCCCCCTCACCCACCAAAGTTGTAAAGTTTGTTTTCTACATAACGACTTGTACATCTCATTGTTGCAATGGGTCCACCTGTATCCCTATTTAAACGATTTGTTTTTTCCCTTCCCCTCCACAAATTATATCAACATCAAATACAGTGAAAGCAGGGGTTTATAGAAAAAGTCAGATAAATTGATGTTAGAGAAATGAACCCTAAGATACGTATTCAAATGTTTTTTTTCTTTCATGCAATTGTTTCTAACACATTTATAAGATTACTTCTTTGTTGCTTTGTATGCTCCTCCTTTGCACTCTTATCTCCAATTAACCATCCAAATACTGAAAGTAGAGTTGTGGCTCAAGTGGTAGAATGCTAACCTTGAGCTGAAGAGCTGAGGGACAGTGCCCAGGCCCAGAGTTCAGGCCCCATAACCATAAAAAATGTTTTTCTCCCTTATAGTAGGTATTGTAAGTTTGTTCCTTATAATTTTCAAATTATATTTTATAGCACAGATAGGCTACATTTATTTATTCTTAAGAAAATTGCTATTTGTTTTGTTCTCAACTTTTGACCACTATTTAATGAGGCTACTTAATAACATTCATATACCAGTTTTACATAGATATTTAAAATTTTTGTCTTCAGTATATAATTGTGGCATTACAAAATCACTGTGTGTGTGTGTGTGTGTGTGTGTGTGTGTGTACTTGTGCTTGTGCTAGTGCTTGAAGGCAGGTCCTGGGCACTGTCCCTGAGATTTCTTGCTCAAGGCTATCTCTTGAGCCACAAACTATACTTCCAGCTTTTTGGTGTTTAATTTAGACTCTTATCTTTTTGGTGTTTAATTGAGACTCTTTTGATGTTAAGATTCCTATTTCAAGAGTCATGAATTTTTTTCTCCCTGGGATGGCTTCAAATCTCTGTCCTCATATCTCAGTCTCTGAGTAGCAAGGAATATAACCATGAGTCAAGTCGCCTGGCAGTACAACTATTTTTAATCTTTGAGTAGTCTGTTTTTCAGTTGTACTAGTTTCCTCCACTGTCATCCTCATTTCTTACTTTGTGTGTGTATACATATACGTGTATGTGTATATATATATATATATATACAATATATACACATATACACATATAAGCATATGTGCATATGCACACACTTGTGTATACATGTATACAATACACACATTCATATATACAAATCACTTTTCCATCACTGTATTATGAATGGAGCTACAATGAATATGGGTGTGTGTAATTGCCTTTATTGTATTCTGTCTTGCAATCTATCAGACAAATGCTCAAGAGGAATAGAATAGCATTCTATTTTTAGTTCTTTGGGAAATCTTCATAGTGGTCGCACTACCTTACATTCTCACCAATGCTGTACTAAAGTTCCATTCTTCCGCATCCTCACAAGCACTTGGTGTCATTGAATTTTTTTGTATTTTTATTACCATTGGATGAATTGTTTTTAGTTAGATTTTTATCATCATTTCATAGTTGTATAGAGGAGTCACCATTGATGAAATCTGTTTCAGTCTATGAATACAATGCATTTTGGTGAAGGTCACCCCCTTCATCATTCTTCCTCATCCATCCCAACCCAATGCCTCTCCAATTTTTTTACTTTTGTAAGACATGCATTGAATATTGTGATTGCATTCTCTGCCCTCTTTCTCTTTGCATTTGTCTACCCTCTTCTTTACTTCTCAAGCCCACCTATCAAGTACTACTTTTCTGGTGTTTATTTTGTTGGATTCTGAGTTAGTGTATGTGTGGGTGTGTTTACTTGTGATGGTGGCCATTTTGATTAAAGTGTTGATGGATTCTCCATGTTATCTTGTTGTGCATTTCCAATGTGACCAAGGCTGGTAGGCATTTTTTCATCTATTCACTGACCATTTGTATTTGTTCCTCACAGGCATGTCTATCTCTTTTGCCCATCTATTAACTGGATTATTACTCTTTTTGAGGGTATCATATTTTAAGCTCCTTGTAGGTTCTGGTTATTAGTTCTTTGTTGATTGTAAGCTTAGCATAGATCTCTAGTTTTGTAGGCTTTCTTTAGCTTAATGACTGGCCCTCAGAGTGCAGAAGATTTTCAGCCTGATGCAAACCATCTGTCAATTTTCTTATTTGTGGAGACCCTAAAGTTATATTCAGGGATTTTCATTTATGCAAGCACATTCTAGTGTTCTGTCTACTCTTTTTGTAGTTCTTTCAAGGTTTAATCTTACATTAAGGTCTATGATATAGTTTGAACTGGTCTCTGTAAAAGGTAAGAGAAAGAGATCTAGTTTTAGCCTTCTGTATATGAATATGTATTTTCCCCAGCACAATTTGTTGAAGAAGTTATCTTATTTTTCCATCATGCAATTTTGTCTCCTTTGTAAAAAAAAAAAATTCAGTTGGCTTTAGGTATGTGGGTCCATTTCTGGGTCTTCTAATCTGTTCCATTGCTCTTTATGTTTGTTTTTGTGTCAGTTCCAAGTTGTTGTTTTTGTTAGTATTGCTTTGCACTAAAATTTCAAGTTTGGTATTGTGTCTAATATCCTCTTTTGATGTATGTTTCAGTAAATCTGTAGACTGCTTTGGCAGTATCAACATTTGCACAATTTTAGTCCTACAACAGCACCAACATTGGAGGCCTTTCCAACTTCTCATCTTCTTCAATTTCTTCAGTGATTTATAGTTTTCACTATAGAGGTCCTTCATCTTGCAGGTTAAGTTTACTACTATTATATATATATATATATGTATATTCACACAGATATATACAGTATTGTGGATGGAGTTGTTTTCCTAATTTTCTTTTTGTTGTGTTCACTGTTCTACAAAGAAACTATTTATTTTTATATATTGATTTTGTATCCTCCTATGTTTCTAAAGGTCTTTGTTTTTTAAAAAAATGTGAGCTCTAAGAGTTTGGATGTAGTATTTAGGGTCCTTAAAGTATATGATAATATCATTTGCAAATAGGGTTAGTTTGACTACATCCTTCCCTATTTGGACTCCTTCTTTTCCTTCTTTTGTCTTATTGTCCAGACTAGAAATTCAAATAGTCTGATGAACAAGAGTAGGAGAGTGTATACCCTTGTTCCAATATTTCCTCTTTAGTATGATGCTAGCTATCATTTTTTCATGTGTCCCTTATTATGTTAAGTTTCATTCCTTCTAGTCCTAATTTCTGGAAAGTTTTTTTTTAATATTAAAATGTTGTATTTTGTCAAAGCCCCATTCTTTATTGATTGCAATAATCATATGATTCTTATTCTTGATTATACTTATGTGGTTTACTATACTGATTATATATGAAAGATACACCATTTGTCTTTTTAAATATGGTTATTTAAAGGTATAAATTTCACTCTATAGTGAAGCAACCTTTGCTCCTTTTTAATGTAAGTACTTAAAATGAAAGCTTCAATTTAAAAACTGTTTCTCAAAACCCTCCATACTCCTGGATTGGGAGGATTAACATTGTGAAAATGGAATTCAGTCAAAGGCTATCTACAAATCCAGTGCAATACCCATTAATATCCCAGCATCATTCTTTAATGAGATAGAAGAAGCAATCCAAAAATTCATATGGAATAATAAAAGACCCTGAATAGCAAAAAGAATCTTTAGTAGGAAGAGCAGTGCTGGAGGAATATCAAACTTCAAACTCTTCTAAAAAGCCATAGAAATAAAAACAGATGACACAAGAATAGGCCAGAGGACCACTGCAATAGAACTAAAGACCCAGAAATGAACCCACAGATTTATGGCCACCTAATCTTTGATAAGGGAGCCCAAAAAAAAAACAGGATGGAAGGAAGACAGCCTCTTCAACAAATGGTGCAGAATTGGCTATATATATATGTAGAAAACTGAAGTTAGATCCTTATATATCACCCTGCACCAGAACCAATGGATCAAAGACTTCAAGGTAAAAGCAGATATCTGAAAATATTACCAAAGAAACTGGGGAACCACCAGGGCTCCTTGGCACAGGTCAAAACTTTTATAATCAAGACCAACAACAGAGCAAATCAAAGAAAGGTTAATAAAAGGATATTAAATAGGATTTCATTAAACTGCAGAGCTTCTTCATGTTAAAGGACATAGCTAACAAGTTTAATAGAAAGCTCACAGATCAGGAGAAGATCTTCACTAGCCATAAAACAGACAAGTGCTTCATATCTAAAATATACTTAGAGGTCAAAAAAATTAAATCCCCTAAAAACAAATCCTCAAAGAAACAATCACCCTATTAACAAGAGAGACTTCTGTGAAGAGGAAGTAAGAACAGCCAATAGACACATGAATAAATATTCAACTTGTTACAATGATAGCCTATAACTTTTAAGTGTTTATTGAATGGCAGCCATTTAAATTCTAGAGAGACTATCTTCTGCATGAATAGACTCCTATAACACTATTCCTGCCTGAATGATTCCTAAATGTAGAATGGCCAGGCAAAACACTCTGACTCCATTTTATTTGAAATGTTTATTCTACATTATATTGCTCAAAAGTTATCTCAGAATCACATGGATTGTAACTCTTGTACAAAAATGAGTTTCTTGTCATAATCTCTGAGTTTTTTTTTAGCAGTAAGTTGAGTAAATTTTGTGTAAAACATGACTTTTAACAACGTTCAACATAAATGCACGTGGGTATATTTTTATTTTTGCCAACATTGTTTGCCTTTGGACTGAAAACATTGCATGTTTAAATAAGCAGTAAAATTCCTGAGAACAAAATTTGGTTTGACAAAATAAGTTTAGGAAATTTCAATTCCATGCTCAAATCACTCCCTTTTCTTCTTTCTTCCACTTTTAGGAAACTTCTGGCAACAAAAAAGGCAGCACCTCATGAAGATGAAGATGACAGTTGCCACACAGGCCAGCAGGAAGCCAATCACATCCAGAGAGTGGTACTGGAACCAGTTGAGGTCATGGACAGCTGGGCGAAGGTGTTTGGCTCCTTTGTGGCGCATGACAAACTCCACCCAGAAGACAGCTCGATCCAGAGGCTTCACTGGCTGATCATGGTGAATTCTTGATAACCTCATTGCATTCTCTTTATAGCTAAAGAAGCATAAACACCAGCATGAAAAGGAGGACAATTTGCCTAAGCATATATACTCAATGAAAATTGTTCAGAAGTAGCCTAGAAATGATTGATTCAACATTAGCATTATTATAAAATGAATATCATGTGCTGGGTGCTGGTAACTCAGATTTGTAATCTTAACTACTTAAAAGGCTGACAGCTGATGATCACAGTTTGATACTAGCCCAGGCAGAAAAGTTCGTGTGATATATCTCCAAATAACGAGAAAAAAAGCTGGAAATGAGTTGTATCTCAGATTCAACAGCATAAGCCTTTAGTTAAAAAAAAAAAAAAAAAAACTAAGTGAGAGGGAGGGCAAGATCCTGAGTTCAAGCTCCAGTATTGGTGCATGCACATATGCACACCCCACCCCGACCTCTCCACACCCACATTCCCACACACAGATACTGCTTTTGTTCACATACAGTGTTCTGTTTTTTATTTGAAAATTTGATTGATCAAATTTTGAATTTGTATGAGGAATGTCAGAAGAGAAAGGTAAAATTTTCCATCAGAGGGAATGGTAATGACAGATTCGAAGTTTAAGGAAACAGTAAAATTACAAGTTGAGGACAACTGTCTTGAAGCATTTAAACAACTATGTCATGATGAATAAAATTCCTCTTAACAATCTCATAGTTTCTACTCTTCTTTCCTGTCCTCTATTTTTATTTTCTACCTAATTTCCAGGATGATATTTTTTAATGGCAGTGTTTAAACTAGGTTTCCTTGCTCAAAATATCCATAAATTTCTCATCAGAAAAAGTCAATTGTTTCCCTGGAGAGAGAGAGAGTGTGTGTGTGTGTGCATGTGCATGTGCGTGTGTGTGTGTGTGTGTGTGTGTGTGTGTGTGTGTGTATGTCAGTCATGGGGCTTGAACTCTGGGCCTGGGTGCTGTCCCTGAGCAGTTCAACTCAAGGCTAGCACTCTACCACTTGAGCCACAGTACCACTTCAGTTTATCTGGTGGTTTATTGGAGATAATAGACTCATGGACTTTCCTGCCCTGGCTGGCTTTGAACCATGATCCTCAGATCTGAACTTCCTGAGCAGCTAGGATTACAGGCATGAGCCATTGACACCCAGCTCAAATACAATAATTTTAAATGATCACAGCTGGCATTATTTTCAACTGTAACTGCACTCTATGCTTATTTCCTGACATGATGTTTGTCTTTCTGCGGTGCTTTTTTCTTCTTCTGATCCTGGGGCTTGAACTCAGGGTCTAGGCACTATCTCTGAGCTTTTTTCTTTCTTTCTTTCTTTTTTTTTGTCAGTTGTGGGGCTTCAACTCTGGGCCTGGGCACTGTCCCTCAGCTCTTCAGCTCAAAGACGAGTGCTCTACCTCTTGAGCCACAGTGCCACTTCTGGTTTTCTGGTGGTTAATTGGAGATAAGAGTCTCACCTATTTTCCTGAACTGGCTGGCTTTGAACTGTGATCCTCAGAGCTCAGCCTCCTGCATAGCTACAGGCGTGATTACAGGCATGATCCACCAGTGCCTGGCATTTCTGAGCTCTTTAAACCAACATTAGTTCTATACCACTTGAGCCACAGCTCCACTTATGGATTTTTGGTGGTTAATTGGAAAGTCTTGAGGACTTTACTGCCCAGGCTGGCTTTGAACTGAGATCCTCAGAATCTCAGCTGCCTGAGTGACTAGGATTACAGGCAGGAGTCACCAGTGCCTGACTTCCTGCTGTACGTCGAACCACCACTTAACTTCTTTTTTGGGGGTATAAGTTACTGTCTTCCTTTTCTTATTCTTCCCTCCAATATCGTAAGGCTTTCTTTCATCTCATTACAGAGTATGTCACATAAATGTCAATGGTCAGGGTATTTTTCTTGCTCATTTCAGCATAGCAACCTAAACATGAGAAATTGTTGTAAAGCCATGTTACCTTTATTATGTGATAAAACACCATTGAAGTATATTATTTATTTTATTATACTGAGTTTATAATATATTTTTATGTTTTCTGAAGTAAATAAGTTTATTATATATGTATGTTTACACGTACACACACACACACTTGTTTGTTTTTTGGTCAGCTGCAGGGCTTGAACTTAGGGCGTGGGCACTGTCTCTGAGCTTTTGTACTCAAGGCTCTACTACTTTGAACCACAGTGCCACTTCTAGTTTTCTTGTGGTTAGTTACAGATGAGTCTGTGTTTGAATCAAAATCCTCATGTTGCTAGGATTACAGGCATGAGTGACCAGTGCCCAGAAAGTTTCGGATAAATTTCATAGTGTGTATGAATCATTATTCAAATCTATGAATATTATTAATAAGTGAATTTTTAAGCAAAAGGTTATTTGTAGTTTCAGAAGTATAAAATTAAAATATTTTTATTTGTGTTCAAGTCACTCATAATTTTTGTATAAGTTAAAATTTATATTTAAAAAGTAATGTTCTTATTACAGTAGATATATGCCTCTAACTTTTCTTTTTTCTTTTTTTTTTGGTCGATTGGGGCCAGAACTCTGGGCCTGAGCACTGTCCCTGAACCCTTCACTCAAGGCTAGAGCTCTACTACTTGAGCCACAGTGCCACTCCTGGCTTTTTCTGCTTATGTGGTACTGAGGAATGGAACCCCGGGCCTCATGCATGCAAGGCAAGCACTCTACCACTGAGCCACCTTCCCAGCCCCACCTCTAACTTTTTTAGTATACTTAGATATTATTGCACTGATTCTCCAATTAATTTATGGTATCAAAGGCTATTACCAATGACTTTCTTGTTGAAAATAAAAGCAGATTTTGCCTTCCAAAAAGTTTGAAATTCGTACATATGAATAACAAGAATTCCTTTATAAACACTCCCTTATAGTGAATATAGTTATACTTACAAAGGGTCGTAAATAACTGCATCCAAGGCATTGAGAAGGTCTGACTTTGTCATTGTGTTGAAGTTCACTCTAACAGCTGCTCCTTTGGCCACCATGTGAACAATGTTATCAGGTTGATCCCCAAACAGAGGCATGCCCACCATGGGAATCCCGTGATATATTGCCTCATAGACGCCATTGGTTCCACCATGGGTTATGAAAGCCTTCGTTTTTGGATGACCTACAATCGGGTAAATTTCATCAAAAGTATTTATTATAAAATCTTATGAACTCAGTGAGAAATGAGTGTTATGAGGCCTTAAAGGGGCCAGTAATTTGTAAATTATTATGGCCATGAAATTACATTGAAATTGCTTTGAATCTTACAAGAAGCACTTAAATCCCTTAGAGGATCATGAACAGCCTTCATGGTAGAAATATTGTGTGACTTGAGAGTTGAATAATGAAAAAGAAGATTGGCAAGAGCAGGACGAGGCAGCTTGTGCCCATTCATAAAAACAGATTTGGGGGTCATCGCAGGGCATTTTCCCTGCATACATAATGACATCATTAATTCTGATACAAAAGGTGTTCCAGGCAGCAGGAAGCAGAGTGGTGATGGAGCTGAAGTATCAGAAAACACAGACTACTTGTCATCAGGGATGATGTTAACACTGCATGACAATGTTTATGGATTAGTTTCAACAGAAAGGAAAGTCTCTGGTAATATAAAAGAAGATATTATTTTTTCAATAGTGGCTGAGATGCAACAGGGGAATAATAAGGAAAGCTTTAGGAAAATGAGACAAAGAGACAATCAAAAAACTGCTTCAAAAATGCTGGGAGAGGCAATTACACCTTAAAGACCTTTGTGTTCTTCCTATAGAGAGTATAATTATACACACTAACATGGGAATGTTAAGTTTATTCTTTTACTTTACAATTTTGACATAATAAATATTCGGTGAACTTGTTTCCTGTTGAACAATTTATTACATGATTGTGAGATGTTTGTCATGCATTTCACTGTTTACTTTCTAGACTCTTACCAAGAAGGTCATTCTGGGGAATCCATTTGTACAAGACAGTGTTGGATCCTAAGGTATCTGGTTTCTTGCCATGAAATTTCCATACAACCTGTTGTTACAGAAAATATCTTTTTTTTTTGACTGAAAAGTCAAAGTTCCTACATAATTGATGAAACTTCCAATTAAACAGAAATTCACATTCTATATGACAGATAACATGGAAAGCATAAACTATGTGGATCATAATCTAGAAAAAGGCCAGGACAAGACGCTAGTCTATGTCAAAATAACTAGTGAAAAGTGAAGGAAGGGGTGACATTATCCAAAAAGAATTCTAGTCATTTTCTGACTTATGTAGTGGTAACCCCTCTGTATATTGCCTTAAAATAACAATAAAATTATATTTAGAAAACAATAGTGGGAAAAAAGATGGAAGGTGTGATTCAGCAGTAGAGAACACTGGAACCATTGTAACAATTTTCGTTTTTACTATTTTTTGGCAAAACTAGCTTTGAATTTAGGGTCTTGTGCTTGCTAGTTAGGCGCTACACCACCAGAGTCAATCCAACAATCTACTTCTGTACTCAAATCTTTTAGTGTTTAGAATAGGGCACTAAGCTCTCACCTTTTGTGGAATCTGTGCTAGTGCTGATGCAATCACATTGGCCCTCTCTTCTGTCATGTTACTGACCATTGACCCCAGAGAAAACACTACAACACCATCCTCTCCAGAGCTCTGGACAAAGTCTTCCATTTCCTGTGAAGAAAGTACTTGTTTGGTTACAAAAGAGCAACAACACAGAAAACACACTTTAAAAGACTGTCAAAACTCTAAAGGCAATCAGGCACCTGTGTCTCATGCCTATAATCCTAGCTACTTTGGAGGTTGAGATCTGAGGATAATGGTTCCATGCAAGACTGGACAAGAAGGTCCATAAGACTTTTATCTCCAATTAACTACCCCTCCCCAAACTGGAAGTGGAGCTGTGGCACAAAGTAGTAGAGTGCTAGCCTTGAACCCAAAAGCTTAGGAACAGCATATGAGCCCTGAGTTCAAACCCTGCAATAGACACAGAAAAACAAGATGAAAAAAAAAACAGCAGTAAAGTATAAAAATCAAGCATTACCAAGCATAATTAGAGTAATTTTTAATTGACTTTATTGTCCATTTTATTAGGAAGATGTCATGTAGCATGACATAAATGGATTCTCTTATGCATGTTTGTGTAAATATGTATGGATGTTTTCATGTCTTTATGTCTGGTTCAAAGCCAAAATCCTGGTTCAAAGTCAGGGTGAGCAGAAAAGTCTTTGAGACTCTGAATTCTAGATAAAAAGCTCAAAGTGGAAGTATGGCTCAAATGGTAGAGCACCAGCTTTGAGCAAAAAAGTGAAGCAAGATCACAAGGCCCAGAGTTCAAGCTCCAGTACTGGCAAATGTGCACACACACACACACACACACACACACACAATCAATGACATTTAGAAGATGGAAAATGGAACTTGGATTTTATATGCACTATTCCTAATAATACTGCCATTTGCCATAAGAGCTATGCAGTCACCTTTTCATTATATTAGAATGATACAGATTTGTTTTTTTTTGTTGTTGTTGTTTTTGTTTTTTTTGGGTCCGGTCATGGGACCTGAACTCTGTGCCTGGGTGCTGTCCCTCAGCTCTTCAGCTCAAGGCTAGCACTCTACCACTTGAGCTACAGCACCACTTCGGCTTTTTTCTTTTTGCTTATGTAGTGCTGAGGAATCAAACCCAGGGCCTCCGGCATGCAAGGCATGCGCTCTACCACTGAGCCACCTTCCCAGCCCCCTAGAAGGATACAGATTTGTGTAAAGGCATTTCTTGGATTATTTACATGTGTTGTGTTTTGTCTCTAAACCATGTTATAAAATTAATTTTCAAATCCAATGAGTTTGAAGAACTCTCAGCCACTTCCTCCCTGTGTTCCATGGGGATCTCTTTCTCACTAGTGGGACTGGTCCACTATATGTTTCCAGTGGAGAACTGGTCCACTTACTGAGTTACTCACACCCATGTTAGAAGCTCCTGAGAAGACTTGAAATGTTTGAGAAATATCTGATTTGTAATTTTCACTCAATGCCAATTTAAAAAGTTATGTCTTCAGCTCTTGCTCTTGCTCTTCTTTTCTGCTCTCACTCACTCTCTTGCTCTTGTGCTCTTGCTCTTGCGCTCTTGCTCTTGCTCTTGCTGCTCTTTTCTTGCTCTCTCTGTTCTATTCTAGCTCTCTGTCTGTTCTTTTCTTGCTCTCTCTCTTTCCCAGCCATGTGGAGTGCCAACCTTGCCTGGTCCCAGCAGGTTTACTGAATAAACCTACCCCTTACCTGAATACCACGTGCGTGCTGGTGCAGTTCTTACTCGGCTACCTCTTTTTAAAAACCTAACATAAATGGTACCTCTTTTTAAAAACCTAACATAAATGGTGCCGTGACTCGGACAAAGGCTTAAAGTCAGGATAGCTGGGATTTCTCTGCTTTTTTTCCCTCTTTTTTCTTTTTTTGTTCTTCCCTTTTTGCTCTGAGGAATACCCACAGTTCTGACGGCCTTTTGCGAACCAGTCTGTCTGCGGCGGAATCAGCGCATCGATACCATTGCTGACTTCACATCCACGTCCACACCACTTCTCTACTCTGGTGAGTGAAACTACTCTACGGCTCTCTGTTACTCAGTCTCTGTCCAGACGTGGCGCCACGCCAGAGAGCTCCTACGGCCTTTAGCTGAAAGGCCGGTCACCTCTGAAGCCGAGGACGCTTGGCTTTGGAGGCTTGGCCATTTCTCTCTAGAGGGCTCTGGGGGAAGTCGGGATGCCGCTTCTGCCTGGTCAGCTCTCCTTCACTCACCAGACTGACTCTACTCATTTAATGGGGTGCTACGAATCACGCCTGAGTGATGAAACCCCTTTGAAATGCCTCCTGCGCTCCCTGGAAAGCCAGACAGCCTAATTTTATGCCATTCTCAGAAGTACACAGTTTTTGCTACTGCAATGGTAAATGATCAGAAGTTTGTTTAATTTCAGGCTCTCT